TTAACCTGCCAGTAGCTTTCTTGTGATAAAATAAATTGCTTTTTAAGAATGCTTTTGAGGTATGCATAAATTTGGATAAATAAATTTTTAAAATTAGTGAAACAATGAATTTATTTCTAGACATAACATACAAGACGTGGACAATTACATGTCAAGAAAATAATAATAATAAATATAATTTTACGCGGCGTGCATAGCGAACAACACTTAAACCATTTAAAAAAATATCGTGAATATAAATTCGTCTCGAAATCGAAACATTTATTATTTTCTTATTTACAGAGTAAACCTAAACCTTCTCCGAGAAAAATGTACACCTCTTATATCCTTTTTCGCAATATAATTATTTTTTCATAAATTTAGTTAAAATTTTTTTCATTAATTAATAAATATTTTTTAATATTATTAAATATTATTATTAAGTGTTTGATTTTAGAGACTCCGGAAAAACAACGAAAATATCATCATCTTAGGAATGTTTGTGGGTCTGTATTTTTATTTTATTTATCATTGTTGTATATGGACGCTTTAAAATGTGGGTTATAATTTTTTTAATCCCTTATTATTTTTGTACTATTTTAGAGGTCGAACGGAAATATTTTATAGGACCACCCCTCACCCACCTTTTAAATTTAATATAAAATCATTAATCTTAAAATTCATTTATAGTAATAAGTGTTTAATCAATTTTTTTATTTTATTTTATTTTTTTTTTTTTGGGAATTTTTAATTATTTTGAATTTGAATAATTTTTTAAACACCCATTAAATAATTATTATAAATCATTATAAATAATTACCCTTTTTGTTTGGTGTGCAAAGCGAGCTAATCATCATTGCAATTTCGATTTTCTTATTTGTATGTTTTTTTCAGATCTTAAAAATTATAGAGGTATGAGTATGAGATTATAGCTTAAGATTTACGCAAAGAAATGCATGTTTTATCACCATACACGATTGTTTTCCACAAGGAATACATAAATTTACTCTAAAATGTGAACATTTTTACTATGCAAAAATTATAAACAAATACAACTTGTCATTTTCGCAGACTAGTGATGAATTTAATTTAGGTGAATTAAATTGATATTAAAAAAAATCGTTAAAAATTCTTCACCAACTGCGATTACAATGATTTTTTTTTAGTTTTTTTTTTCTCAAAGGCATAGTGTATTGAAACTTTATTTTTGAAGAAATTTTATTCTCACGATAAAATAAAGAATCATTTTACACTTTATTTTTCTACAAGGTATTATAATAGTGCACGGTTAACAATTTTTTTTTGATGCTCTTTTTTTTCTTAAATCTTTTCATATTGGCTAGTATGTTAATTATTGCGGACAAGCTTGACTAGATGCCAATACGGCCGTTATGGCAGTGTTCACAAAAGAAACAAAAATAAAGATTATTCCGAATACGAAACGGTTAGAAATCCTAAGGAAATATAGGGTGTCATATGGATAATCGATTGATAAAATGACTACATTTTCACCCATGTGACAACAGTAACAAACCTTTACTCTTGTTTTTTACCTACTTTATAAGCCGATATCTTCGTTGTCTTTAAGATAGTGCAATATTAAATACACCACTACAAAGCTTGATCTTTTCTTCATCTAAAACTGGTTAAGAACAAAATTTGCTACAACTTTTATTCTAAAGAGTTTTTGTAATATGCTCTACATGCCGAGCATTACTAAGCATGTAAAACTAATACTATATTATTTTCGTATTCTTCTCATTTTTTATGCATCTGAAAAAAAAGTGAGTATTGTTCGTGGTACTTGGGGTTGGGGCGACCGACGTCTTCGAAGTCGGCCGAGATTATTTCTTCTTCTACAGCAGAACTTTGCAAAACGCTCCAAATCCTGAGTATCTCTGAAAAATACTAAAGTATCTCCCAAGTATTGTTCGTGATATAAGAAACAATCTTGACTAATTTCGAAGACATCGACCGCCCTAAGTATTGTTCGTCATACTTAGAGCGGCCGATATCTTCAAAGTAGGCCGAGATTATTTCTTCTTCAACAGCAGAACTTTGCAACTCGCTGCGAATCCCGAGTATCACCTAAATAACTTCGAAGACGTCGGCCGCACCTAGTATTGTTCATGGCAGAACTTTGCGAAATCTAATATAATATTATGTTTGCATTCTTCTCGTTTTTTATGCATCTGGCAAAAAAATGAAAAAGAGCAATATTATTAAGAATAAAATTGGCTACAACATTTGATCGAAAAGTTTTTTTGTAATATGCTTTGAAACTCGAATATCTCTAAATAATCTCGGCCGCCCGAAGTATTGTTCGTGATACTTAGAGCGGCCGATATCTTCGAAGATTATTTCTTCTTCAACAGCAGAACTTTGCAACTCGCTTCGAATCCCGAGTATCACCTAAATAACCTCGGCCGACTTCGAAGGCGTCGGCCGCTCCAAGTATTGTTCATGGCAGAACTTTTTGAAATCTAATAGATCGCTTATTACACGTGAAACCAAATAGACCCTGCTTAAAGTGTACTTAGGCCGCCCTAAGTATTGTTCGTGATACTTGGGATGATATCACTTGATTGAAGTGGTAATAAGTTTAGTCGGTGGCTTCACTGCATAGAGAGGGAATGTTCTTGTAGATTTTTTATGGTTTCAGAGTTTTGTCCCAATTATATAAGAAAGTTTTGACGCAGAAAACATTTGCATATGGCAATTATACGCGCTTTTCATAGTTTTTGGGGGAAAGTGTTTGTGCAATCATGCGATCTATTAAACTTGTATACCACCGTATCATGCGGAATATTTTCTATGGATTCCATATGCTCTCCGAGTTTTGTCCGATTTTGAAGACGTAGACCGCCCATTTGTTAGACATTAGTTAGAGATAATCTGGATTCGCTGCATATTACAAAAAAAACTTAGAACAAAAGTTGTAGCCAATTTTATTCTAAACTAAAAATATTGCTCCCTTTCACTTTTTGTGTCAGATGGATAAAAATCGACAAGTAATTTTATATACTGTTGATAGTAACGCTCGGAATTTGTAGCATATTATAAAAAACTGTTAGATTAAAAGTTGTAGCAAATTTTATCTTAACCAGTTTTAGATGAAGAAAAGATCAGGCTTTCTAGTTGTGCATTTAATATTCCGCCATCTGTAAAGTCAACGAAGATATCGGCTTGTAAAATAGGTGGAAAAACAAGGTTAAAAGTTTATTGCTGTCAAAGCACGAGTTACAAATTCTACAATCCCAACAGTTATTGTATTATAACATTTTCTACAACCCCAACTACAAGTTATTAATATTATATACAAACAAGTGTTTTAAAACAACTTTTTAAGATGTCCCAAATCACAGATTCACCTTCCAGATGTTGCTTTGCAGCTCACCAGCTTTCCCAACATACTTGCTGTCAATTAATTGTGGTCAAAACAGTGGCACCAACCTCCTTAAAAATAATTAACATGTTCTTCATCGCGATAATGTACCCCGATCCTATTGTTCTTGTTATCAACATAATGCAATAGTTTCATTTGGTCTTGGATGTCTTGGAATTCTCATGGTCGTATTGCTGTCGGATAGTTGAACACCATTGAAATTGGTCAGAGAAATTAACATTAACTTCAGATCTTCTAAGTTTTGTAATGCTGTTCTAAATAAACTTTATTCTCTTAGCTATTGAATTCCGTCGGGTGCAATACCTGCGATGACTCATTCTTCTGTAGCATTCCTCTTAGCACGACTGTATTAAACACCATCATTTCACAAGCTAAGTACAATTAAGTACATGTTTACTGCGATACGTTATCATCAAGCCGATTAATATACGCAATCAAAGAATCAAAGATTGCATTTGATCATTTCTAACATGTCTTTAAAAGCTGTAAATGTTGTTCAAAAACATCTTGTCCTATATATAATAGTGAGCTTTAACAATCATTCCAAAATTTTTTCTGGATCGATTGAAGTCATTAGGCATAAACGTTACTTAACTCGACCATGAAATTGAAGGCTACGGCAGCAAGCAACCTCGTCTCATTGTACCTAAACTAGAATAAATGCTAATATGGGGAAAACTTTGACCTTTCAGGTTGTAATGCTGCCTGCGCAAACAACCTCGGCTTTGAGCTTGTAGAATGTTTTCGAAGATCCGTGGGACACCCTATATAACTAAAATTAAGGATTCTTTAATAACTCTTTACGGCCTATCAACGAACAAACATAACAAATATTTAAAAATTATAATAATTTCATGTAATGACATGAAACAATAACAATTCTTAAACACCCTGTTATTAATTATAATTAGAATACTTCGAAGTTAAGTCAATTATATTCTTAACACATCTAAACATCCAAAAACCTGATAAAATTCTACCGGATAAATTTGCTACTACTGTTGTTTGTTCGCTTTTATTCTAGCCATTTTCATTATTTTTTATTAATTCGACGACAAAATTTCTTTTTATCATTTTTTAAAATCGGATTTTTTAAAACAAAAATGTTGCGAATGTATCGATTTATCTATTTTATTTATTTTTTTTTATCGTTTTGATTATTATTTACTCTATTTAGTTGATCCAAGCGGTCATTATGATCGTCGCTAGGAAAGCGGTACCGCAAATAGCGGAAACCTCGGCAGGATACCCAAATCGGGGTGCTCCGTTGCATAGGCTCGTAGTGCAGGAGCAATATGTTACTTTCACGTCATGTGTACCGGAACGCGTATAACATTCCTTATCGTCGTGATCTTCATCTTTTATATAACCGCAACCACGAATTACCCTTATTTTACCATGAACTAGAACAAACAAAAATTTTAAACGAAAAATTACAAGAACATTTTCAGGAACTAATATCGATATATGTATTATATGGTTTCTCCATGAATGTAGGTAACTAGGTTAGACATTACAATTTAACAAAGACATGCACATTTTTTGTTACGAGTGAATCAAATATTTATAATTTTTCTTCTATTCAACAACGATAAAATTTGAATTTTGTGACCTAATGATATTTTGGTTAATATATTTTATGGATGACCTGTTTAGGAAGGACTGAAAACATGGCAAATACTAAGTGTGACGTAACCGAATGCTTTCTGCAGCAAGGGCATTATCGACTGATGACGTCAGAATCCTGAAAGTTCACGGTTCTCTGTGTAGCAAGGGCTTCGAGGTGAATGCATACTCTTTTTAAACGAAAATAAAACGATTAAAAGGTAATTTTTTAAAACCTTTTGAAATATTTGTTACGCGTTTT